GAATGCCGCCGAAACTGCTAACAAACAGAATTCTTCATTTCCCCCCTCCCAATATTATAAAAAAGCCTTGACCTAAAAATATTCCCTTCCAACATGTGCGGAGCAAGAAATTTCAAGCCTTTCAAAGCTACTTTCTAATTTTACCTCTGTTTTAATTCATTTACCTTTCTATAGAGCCCGTTTAAAAGGAACTGGAATTCAATCGAAATCAGTAAAATTTCTCAAAGTCAAATACTCTGATTGACTGTCCTGGTCCTAAACCAAGACATTGACCCAAAATTGCTCTTTGGAAAAATTAATCAAGAACTTTTGTTTGTCATCCCTAACCAGATCAGAAGAGAAAAATCTCCATGTTTTTCATACCAGCATGGGCAACATGTTTGTTTGGGTTTTTTTTAAAAAAACAACAAACAAACTGAAGCAGTTGTTTAGCCTGTACACAGTTTAAAGTAAAATAAACATCTCCCCCTCCTTTTTGCTGTTTCTTCTGGCTGCAGCTGCACTTCAAGGCCACATCTTACCAGTTCCTCATACTTTGGAATACAATGCAAAAATGGGAGTAAAAGAAAAATCTGATTTGGATCATTTTCCATCTTTCTAGTCCCCAGAAGGAAAACATAGGAGCCTGCTGATGCCGATGACAGGGGACCTGCCGCTCCCCCGCGCCAGTACAAACCTTGCAGCATTTGGGGTGCCAGCTACAAACGAGGGGTGTTCAGGTGAATTAATAAGTGGGAGGGAAAAAAAAAAGAGGGTACAAATCCTTCCCAGGTGCCCAGATCTGGCAGGAAAGGGCTTCCCTGCTCCCGGGGCTGCTCCTCTTCCTCCCTTCGCCTCCCAATTTCCTCCAAGAGCATCCGAGGGAACGCAGCCGGCAGCAGATGGAGTCCCCGCTCCTCCTTCCCACCCGCGCTCGGGGAACCTTCCTCAGCCCTTGATTTTAATTAGGCGGTTTCGGAGGCATCCCCCTCCCCAGCCAGCGAGGGCGAGGGGAGCTCGTTAATGTTTCCGCAGGAAAAGGCCCCAGAGGCAGGAGCTGCAATATCGTCTCTAGAGCCTCCTAATTAACTCCGGTGCAGATAACGAGGTGGTAACCGCTTCCAGCCGGGGTTAGGGAGGCAATGCTTTGTGCTCCACTTACCAGGGGGGGTCAGGAGGGATGCAGACACCCCTCAGCTTCTAGTAGTGATTTAATTGCGAATAAGCCGAGAGA